ATAGTGATATTAGATCTAATGAAAATTAACTAAAGTCGGTATAATTTTTTAGCACTTTTTGTTAATATGTATATTTTTGTTACTAAAAGTTATTTTTGTTGTAATGTTAACTCATTGATAAACAAGAGGAGTTGCTCGAATAATAAATACCCCTCACTCTAAATCCAAAGATTATAAATTCGAGTAACCAACGGAGTTGCTTGGATTGTTACTACTGAACACACCCTTCATAGTTACCCTTTACATTTTATCCCAAAAGAATTCGAAAATAAAAGTACATCATAAGGGAATAATATAACCAATTATTTGACCACAAAATATGCTTACTTATCTGAATTTTGAATATATAGCATTTTAACTATTTTCAATTTAGACAAAAAAATAATTCCATTTTTATAACTTAAAACTTTGAACAAACACAAAAAAATTGGACACGTAACAACTCTCGTACTTGGATCAAATAATTCCTTTTTAAGTCATAAGACTATTTGGACTATAATATAATTATCTAATTAGTCAAAGTAAAGGAGAGAATCCAATTTAGTCAACATTGTTGTACGTGCAGTCTTTCAGATCAAACGGCTGTTAAAGCAGCAGTGCAAAATATAGACGACTCTGATTAATTCAAAAATATAGATTTTATATATTATTCTAAACATATTCTTTATAAATAGACTGCAGGACCACAGTGGTCAAACTTTTGAAACAAATTAATTGTAAGATTTTAATTATTAATTCCCACTTGTATTTATTAAGAGTTGATAGCAAATGAGAGTTACTATTAGTTATTATATATTCCAATGTACTTTCATTATATATTTTGTTGATGTCATACCTTGAAAAGGAAAAAAAAATTGAGCAGGTTATAATTTGGAAATTTTGGTGCTTTTATATTCTTAATCAACATAGGAAGAAACAAAATTGTCTATAGAGTTTGTACAGCTCATGAGGCTATTAGTTCTATAATATATTACTTCCTCCGTTCCATTTTATATGAGTAAGTTTGATTTGATACTGAATTTTTTTTAAAAAAAAATTGAAAGTTGTAATTTAAAATAAGTGATAGATGTTTGTGTGGCTACAAATCATTTCATTAAGGGTAACATGAGTATTTAAAGTTAAATTGTTATTTATATAAGTGTGTCTATTTGGGATAAACTAAAAAAAAAGTGAGTCATATGACCGGGACAAGGGAGTACATAAAAAAGAAGAGCTACTTTCTCCGTACACTTTTACTTCTCAACTATATTAAAAATATATGCTCAATTTAACTTTTCTAGCTTAGAAAATTAACAAATAATTTATCATTTAATTTTTAATTTAGCCTTGTTATTAATTATACTATTATAGTTATATTTCTAATTGAATTTATTATATTTTAAGAGTAATATAATAAAATTATTTATTTATTATTTTTTAATGAATATATCAAATCAATACTGAACAACTAAAAATAACAAGTTATATCACTTTATGAATAAAAGTCCATTGTGAAAACGCAATGGCTTATGGAACTAGGAGTAGTTTTGAAGTTAAAGCAGGACTAGAGCAGTATAATATATTGATTTGATCGAACTTATTAGCTTTAGTCTAAATTTTATATTTGTCTTAAATTTTTTAAAGAATATGTAGTATTAATTTAAAATTCAATAATATAAAAGAACTAAAATTTCAAATTCATATAATTCAAATTTTGATCCCGCCTCTAAGTGAAAGCATATTTTTTCTTAAGACGCACACAAACCATATATACTTGATTTTACACTAGAATATATAGATATTCCTATTATCTCTATTTTGAAAAACCTGTCATACTTATATGGATATGAACGATACTCCATTTAAATATATGTACATTCCCAAATTCATTTTCCTCTTTTAAAGATAAGAATATTCAAACTCTTTCACGTTTTTTCTTCTTTTGAATGAGATGGGTAGCTAATAATACCCTGAAAATTGGACCTTCCCCTTTACACATATGTACACTAACTGATTGAGCTCAATGCATAGAATACAGAATAGCTGAACCTTAGCCACCGTTTGATGTTGATATTCAGATACGATACTAGTTAGGATCGAGCGCTTATAATCATATCAAAAAAATTATATCTAATAATATAAATATAACTTTATTAATTTCTTAGCTAAATCCATTAAACAAGTGTCATGTTTGATTATGACTCTGACTCCAATCACCCTAGCCCCCTTGTTGAGACTTGCAACATATAGAATATTAACGATATCCGATATTAATAATATGTTACTGGATCAACAGTAAGCTTGGACATTAATATTTATAAATATCTCTTCTTATTTTATTACAAAAATCGGGAACGGAAGTTGTCAATGAAATAAACATAAAAATCATCCGATTTCACATTTTTGTCCCTTTTTATTTGTTCGGAATATTGCATGCTTTTGAAAAAGTAATGATTAAAATAAATATTTTATTATTATATTAATATTAATTGATTTTTTAGATTTTGAAAATGATTTAGAGAATAAGTAATTAATACGGATAAAATAATAAGAAAAAATTCCTAATATGCTCAAAGTGACAAATAAAAATAAAATATATTTTTAATATAATACGTAAATAAAAGTAAACATAATGGAGTAGAACTTACAAGTTTATCCTATTTTACTTTTAATATATGGAGCACTAACCTAAAAGATTTTTTTTAACAAAGGCAAATCTAGTTTACCTTTTTCGGCTAAATTTGTGAAGATACAAGATTTGGAACGCAACCTATTAAAAATTAAATTATATATAATGATAGTGTAAAGATATTTCTTAGATTTTTAAGCAGTAACTTTTTGAATATAGGATTAAAGGTTATAATTTATTCATGAACTACAAACTTAGGGTCAAATTTGATCTTTTACCCTTTAAATACCTTAGCAAATAAAATTCTAACTTTTTTTTTTCAGATTTTAAAGAGAAAGTTATTTCTTATGACAACTTATAAACTTAAAGTTTTATATAAAATGACTTTCTTCAATTCACTTATACGTAAAAATGAAGATATTTTATAAGAAAAATATAAAATTTAATCAAGTTTGTAAGAATCTACTAAACCAAGTATCTTGTTTGACTCATGAACTAAGATGGGAAATTCAATGCGAGAATTCAATTTATATTTTATTTAGTTGATATTATAACTAGTTCTAAAATAAATTTATACCTATAACTTAATGTTATTTTATCTCATATGAAAAGTGAAAAAAGGTAATCCAAAATAATAAAATCCCAAAATAATAATTTTGAGACTTTTTTATCCATAAACCAAAGTAGCATTAATGTAGGTGAATATCACAAGCAAATTGCCATAACATAGTTGAAAACTTTGAAAAGTTGTTGTCGAGTGTCCAATTTGTGATGACTTTTTTTTTAAGGAAAAAAAGTTAAATGGAGAAAATTTAAAAGTTGATTAGTTTAAGTTGACTATCTGCTTTCGTATCTCTTAAGTAAAGAAGTAAATCAAGAAAGTAAAATAATTTGTTAAGAAAATATCTTACTTGCATATAATGTTTATATATATATATATATATATATATATATATATATATATATATATAGCATATGTTTTTTTATATATATACTCTTGTAGATCTGGTTTGCCATAGACCCGATCTAGATAACCAAATTCAAATAATTGGGCTGTAAATCCCGATGATCCATTTGGGAATATAGAAATTCGAGGAAACAAGCTGGTTGTTCCCAGAACTCCATATGTTTCTCCACTTTTTTCTGGAAGATTATAAATATATCTTGTAAATGCAAGATATTCTTCTGCAAAGAAATAGTATATTTTGATACATCTGCTTATTATTTCTCTGAGTCGAATGAGCTTAAAAGAAATAGTATATTTTGATGCATTGATATATATATAACATATGTTTTTACATGCATTTAATCATATACTTAATCAATGAGTATTCATATATTAGTTACCACTTAAACTTAATAAATTTATATATTTTATTTTACTCATGCAAGAGAGATCTAGTGTATAATAACTTACTAGCTTATTCAAATTTAGTAACGTTTGTGTAATTAAATTAAGCATATATGTTTAATTTATCTAAGGACCTACAAATAATAGATTTCAAATAGGACCAAACCTAGTGAGTTAATTACAAGTTTTTCAAGATTTAATAGTTTTGATTTAGATATGTTTAAAAATTTATTAAACTAGTGTAAAAAAAATTTTCATCCAATTAATCTACTGATTTATTGTATACTTTTGAACTTGAATTAACAAAATTCAAATTTTGAATTCTAAAAATCAAGTGATTATGATTAATATCACAAACTCAATCCATCAAATTTGACGATGGGCCTAATTCATCACACAAAAACTAACTGGAAAAAAAAAAATTATCCAAGTCTTATGAGAAACACTCATAATTCTCATCGTTTACCAATATAGGATTCATTCCATACATCAAAACCCCTCGTATGTTCAAATTCAGACATTTTTTTTATTCGAAGTTCTATTTTTACTTTTCTACTATTTTAAACATTAGTTATTTATTCTTTAAATTATTTTTCTAGATTTAACATCAAATATCAATTAATAAGGATGATATGATAAAATATATTATCTCTATTCAATAATAGTTGCCCACAATAAAAGTATTTATTTGGATCTTTATTTTCTTACTGATTGTGTTAAAGTTCAAATTTGACAGATAAATGTGAATAAAAAAAGTAGAAAAGAAAGCACGTGGTACAAATCTCCTGTAAATTTTCTTCATGTGAGAAACTTCATAGAAGAACAATTCCTCCGCAGCAACTTCCAAACTTTCCTTCAACAAATATTATTTTAATCATCTCAATCATGAAAATTAGCTCCGTGCATGAACCATTTTTCTTATAAATACTCCATTTCACCTTTCACCAAGAATGTTCTAAGCTTCCCCAGTTTTCTATCTGTTTTTTTCTTCTTCTTTTTTTCACTCTCAACAATTTAAACCCATAATTAACAACTACAAATATGTTTGAAAATATAGATTTTGAAAATGATTATGCCCTTCTTGAATCAATTAAGCTTCAATTACTTGAAGATTGGGAATGGGAAAATCCTGTAACAAGCTCAGATAATTCAACCTCAACTTATAGCCGAAACAATAGTATTGAGTCTAATAATTCCTTATCGAATGATTTTGATTATTCAACTGACAAATTTCTTTCCGATTTTCTTAATGATAATGACGTTGGATATGGATCGGATCCTGTAATCCCAAATGTGAAATCGGAGCCTGAAATTTGGAATTTCGCGGAATTTGCGGCGGCGACGCAGTATACGGCGGCGGAGGTGAGAGTGGAACCACCACCACAACCTGTAGTGACAGCCCCGCCACAGACGCTGCCGACGGCGAGGCACTATAGAGGTGTGAGACAGAGACCTTGGGGAAAATTTGCGGCGGAAATTAGGGATCCGGCGAAAAATGGGCAAAGAGTGTGGTTGGGTACGTATGAGACGGCGGAGGACGCAGCGTTTGCTTATGATAAAGCGGCGTTTCGCATGAGGGGTTCACGTGCAATGCTGAATTTCCCACTGAGGGTTAATTCTGGTGAGCCGGAACCCATTAGAGTCAGGTCGAAGAAGTCATCAATGTCGCCGGAATGTTCTTCTTCGTCGTCATCGGATAATGCGCCGGGGAAGAGGAGGAAGAAGGTCCCTCAAGTGGTATAAAATGGGTCGGGTCGGTTTTCTCACGGATCAAATATCTGAGCTTGGATAGTTTGGTAAGACCTATGAGATAAATAAAGATATTTTATGAAATTCTAAAATCATCAATTCAATCGTGAGATAAAACTAATCTCAAAATTATTATCTTTTCCCATGCACCATTCAACCCCTAGAGTCGTTTTGGTATTATGAATAAGGTATAATAATTTTAAGGTAAAATTTTTATTCTACATTTGATTGGAGGTATTATATAATCCTTAGATTATTTATTTCATCATTACGATTTGATGAAATAACTTATCTTAGGATTAATTATCTCGAATAGGCATGTGATCCTTTTTTATTTCTTTCTAAGATAGGCCTGTAGTTGAATGAATGAATTTCCACTGTAAAGTAATAAGTAATAACTATCATAATGATGAAATTCTTCTTCTACTTTCTTTTCCAATTAATGCTGTAATTATCATTGAAAATGGTTAATTATATTTATATTGGTCTAGAGTTGATATGTGTTCGTAGTAAATAGTAATGTTAATATTTTAATCAATGGATAAATATTTAAAATTTAACGATGCAATATCCATTTGCTTGTACAATACTATTTGTTTCATCATGCTAAATAGTAAATTGAATATTTTTTCTTAATTGTGATGGCTTTAGTTTTTATCGCATTTTCAACAAACTGAACTGAAAAATACACAAAAGAAGAAGAAAAGAGATTACAGACGGTGGGTCACCCCCGAATGTTATTTGGAGCGCTATCTCTAAATGGCAAACGCGAATTCAGAATTTGAAAATTTTGGGTGGTTGTTCTAGTTTGTACGAGTAGCACAAGGGCACTATTAGGGTTGTTCATGGTTATGATTAAAAAACCAAATCGAACCGCGATCCGAACCAAATCGATTAAAAAAACTGATATTTGGTTTTAAATATTGAAAAATCGATATTATTTTGTTTGGTTTTGGTTTTACTAAAAAATAACTGTAAAAATAATCAAACCGAACCGATAAATTATATATATAAATTTTATAATTATTTATATATCATTCATAAATAAAATATAAATATTTTGTTAAATTTTAAGGAACTTAAGTCTTTAACTTTATCATTTTCTCAAGCCTAACACTTAAATTTTAGTTCATCTATTACAATCACAAGTCCAAGTCCATCAAAATTCATTATTTTAGTCTTTACCTAACATACCTTTCATAAGATAGTTACACCTTCTCTTAATTGAATCACTTTGTTCGTGTAATGATAACTTTAGTATTGTTTAATTGTTTAATTGTTTAATTGAACCGACAATAGTTTTTCAGTGGATTACTCATGTAATAGGTGTTTGTGTCTATCAAGATACATATGTCCTCAAAAATTTATTACTTTCAAACTGAAAAAACCAGAAAAATAGAACCAACCCAAACCAAACCGTCAATAACCAAATCGACGGTTATTTTTTGCGTTTGATTTAGTTTGGTTTTAGATATTTAAAAAACTGACTAGATTGGTTTGGTTTTGATTTTAACCAATAACCGATCCAAACCGAACCACGAACACCCCTAGACACTACTATACTACTATTAATTATGTACTAATTTCTGTTAGTTTTTCAAGATATATATACATGATTTTTTTCAAAGTTAACGGAGCCACGTACACCCCTACCTATACATGTGGATCTGCCTCTATCGAATGGATCCTACCAAAAATCGAATGAAACAAATAAATTATAGATTATTACAGAAAGATGACGGGTCTCAATAACTCTTGTTGTCGTCGCTTATTCAATTTGCAATTAGGATTGTGTCACTAGGCAGTATCTTATTCAACTCTTTCTTTGTCCACTTGATGATGTAACACCGAAAATAGACCAATAACAGTCTAACACAAGTCATTTTGGTCGATAAGTTTATAAATTTTAAATTTATTTTCAATTAGCTCGTTTAGTCAATTGAATTTCCTAAAATAAATACAAAAACTATCAAGTTTGTTCGAACTCATACGTAAGATTGTAGCTTCATCAAACAGACTCACATGTATTATTAAACTCTCTAATTAATGATAATGCTATATATTCACATATTTGTGTCGACTGCTGGTCATTGCTCCAACAACCGGAAGAACCACCATTGAATCATATCCCAAGGGAGGCTAATGGAGTAGCCGACACATTAGCGGAGAGTTAATATCTCATATGGTCATTCAACTATGCATTATTTTCTCAGAAAGTCACTCAACTTTGGTTTTAACTTCAAATTCACTCAACTATGAGTTTTTTTCTCAGGAAGTCACTCAACTATGAGTTCTTTTCTCATAAAGTCACTCAACTTTGATTTTTAACTCAAAAATCACTTAACTATGAGTGTTTCACTTACAAAGTCACTCAACTATGAGTGTTTCACTTACAAAGTCATTCAATCTATTTAATTGATTTTTTTCATTAAAACTTACCAACATGAAATTTTTATTTCTAACTATTTAAACCATTTAATCCGATCCGTTAGAAATATATTATTTTAATGATTTCATTATTTTTTTCAACTGAATTTACTAACATGAATTTTTTATTTCTAACCAAATTTTTTAAAAAATAAAAGGATATTCATTTAAACCAATTAATTAATTTAACTATAGCACTCTAAAATCAACAACATGTAAAGACCATTTTACAAAAAAATAAAAATAAAAATGTAAAGACCAAATCTTAATTAACTTAACGGTAGGAGAAACATAATTAACAAATTCAAGTCAGTTTTTTTTAATCACTTCTTTTTGTTCCTTCATTATGTATCATTGTTACTAAAAATTTGAATTTACTAAAAAAGTAATTTTGTAATTTCTATATTTTATGAATAATGCATGGAGATCGCTGTATTCACACACAATTGGAGAAAAGGGGTAAAATAAAAGGTAATATATTATATTTTTAGCGGATCGAGTTATTAAATGATTTAAATGAATATCTTTTTATTTTTTAAAATTTTAGTAAGAAATAAAATTTTCATGTTTGTAAGTTTAATGAAAAAAATTAATTAAATAGATTGGGTGACTTTGTAAGTGAAACACTCATAGTTGAGTGATTTTGTAAGTGAAACACTCATAGTTGAGTGACTTTGTAAGTGAAACACTCATAGTTGAGTGACTTTTGAAATAAAAACCAAAGTTTAGTGACTTTCTGAGAAAAAAACTCATAGTTGAGTGACTTTTGAGTTAAAAACAAAAAGTTGAGTGTCTTTCTAAGAAAATAGTGCATAGTTGAGTGACCATCTGAGGTATTAACTCCATTAGCGGAATACGGAAGGAAGTCAAAGGATCCAACTATGACACTAAATATTGTCTATATTTTTTATGCATCTCCTTCCTTTGTTAGGAATTGTCTTGAAAGAAATGTGAACGGAACTGTCTCATATAGAACTGTTCCCTTTTGTATGGATGAACATTAATTGTTATTAAATAAAATCCTTCCGTTCCTAAGCAAAAATAAAATAAAATATTGTAGCTCCACCGTTAGATTACGAACGTCACCCAAAAATGGTTCACAATTAGAAATTGAGTTTTATGTATAGAATATGAAAAATACTATTAAGAGCATTGCTACTTGATTTTTTTTTATAATTATAAATTCAGATTTAACCGAATCTCTCTTATATATAGAACATCAAATGTGAAAAAAAAACAAAAGCAGGTGACATCTGTTAAATGTCACATAGACAGTTTACTAATCATAACCTAATATAATACTAAAAAAAATCCATTATTAATACAGCTCACATTAATATGTGTATGATTGATCTAGGCTAATTAGTTGTCAAATCATCAATCAAATTTTAAAATATCACGACTGAAAATCCGCAATAATCATGATTTCTTCTCGAGGTTTAATTGGTAGAGGTCCAAAAAAACATTTGAAGTTGAATAACATTTGAAAGTAGGTGCGGGCAGAGGCGAATTTAGGATTTTTCGAATATGGATGCACCAAGAAAAATGTATTAAGTGGGAATTGATCCTCAGTCCTCAAAGTCAAAAGCTCAATATTTAACCATGTGGACCAACTAGACTTTTTATAGTACGGGTGCAAAAATATAATATTATACCAATGTTAGAAAATATATACATAAAATATTTAATTTTACGAAGAGATCACGGGTTCGGGTGCCCTATTTTTTGCACCTAAATTCGCCACTGGGTGCGGGCATTCAGACTGATCAAATTAATTAATTAAACACAAATAAGTTTGGATTAAATCAGTTTTAAAATTTTCGATTCAGAATTAATTGGTTTTGTAATTACACGGAAGAGTAGAGGTAGTCTGAATAAGTATTGAGAAGAGATGATCATTAGATAAGATGTGACACAACTTCATACTACTGAGGACATGATTCTAGATAGAAAGAATTGGAGATCTTGTATTACGATAGAAGGTCTAGTTCTTGCCATAAGTTGTTTATTATGTTTCAATTATCACATTATTTTGTTGTTGTTATTGTTTCTTTCTTGTAGACTTTACATCGCTTTTCTTATTAACCGTTCTGCTTTCTTTAATATTTTCTTCTTTACTTGCTTGAGTTTGATGCACTTGAGCCGATGGTCTTTCGAAAACATCATCTCTACCTTCACGCGTCAGTGATAAGTAGATAAGATCTACGTATACTTTAACTTTTTTCTGATGCCCACTTAATAAGATTCCACTCGATATTAAATAATTTTGACTTTTTAGATCACTTAGTTAATCTTGACCGTAAGGAAAATTGCAGTCAATTTAAGTGGTAATTGTAGTAGGTATTAAAGTAAAAGTATGTCTAGAAAGTTATTTTAAATTAAAAAGAAAAACAACATTTTCTTTTATCAAATATTATTTATTATTTTATTATTAATAAATAAAAGTGAACCTCGAAAGCAGAAAAGTATAAGTAAAGAGAGATAAGTCCTGTTATACTAAATTACTAATTCTAATTAGGTAATGTAAACATTACTGGTTCTATTTACATCTTGAGTTTCTTTAATAT